CTATATTAATTTGCAAAAAAAATGTAATAAAATATTAAGATAAAATAGAATACCCTGATTTTTTAAAATATCCCAAAGATCTACTGCACAATAAACAAAAATCACAAATTTTCAATGTTTTTAATAAATTCCTGAATAAAAAACTTGACCAGAATGAACAACACCAGAAAGTGGAATCTGAGGAATATTGTTCGTGCTTCTAAAAATATTGGTTTAAATGGCAAAACTATATTAAATTTGCAAAAAAAATGTAATAAAATATTAAGATAAAATAGAATACCCTGATTTTTAAAATATCCCAAAGATCTACTGCACAATAAACAAAAATCACAAATTTTCAATGTTTTTAACATTTCATTTTTCATTATAAATTCTGTTATTTAGTCATCTCATAATTTTGGTAGCGCCTTAATAAATACTCTTAACTAATTAATTTTATACAAGCAATTTTATATATAACTTTGTTTATGTAATAACATTTATATATAATAATATTATCTACAGGCTTATATTGGACGATCGAATGTTATCATAATTATTATATATTATTTTGTTTAAACTATTCATATTTACAATTTTCCATGTGTTCATTATTATAGCAATATATTTCGTGGTGCATTTAAAATTATTTTAAATATTAATTATTCATATATGTATATAATAATTTAAATATTTTATTATAAGTAGCAGGCCCTTTTTGCTTTGCAAATTTTTATTACGATTTTATGACAATTTTGTGCAATTTTTAATTTTTGTTTCAACTAATTTTATTTTTATTATAACAGGGATAGAGTAATATCTGAGCGAATTTGTATAGAGCATTAAATTTTAAGTCAAAAACTAAAAGAAGTTTTTTAACCAAAAACTTTGAATTGGGTTTGCGCCGATTTGAATGTAATAAATATTTTAGGTTCCTTCTTTTAAAAATATACGGTTTCTAATTTTATATGTGAAGTCAATTTCATTTTTTTGCAATAATTTAGTAAGTTTTCATATATCAAAACCATATTTCAAAGGAAACCTGCTTTAGAAAAAATAATATTGAATCAATTAAAAAATACACAAATTGTGATGGACAATCTAGTAACTTAAGAAAATTTAGTAAGTTTTTTTTTATATCAAAATTAATTTTCAAAAACCTTGTTTAAAAAAAAGTAATATGAAAAAAAAATGCAGAAAATATACAAATTGTGAATAGCAATTTAATCATTTCTTCCAATATTTTTTAATATTTTTAATTGTACATAAGTAGTTATATTTAATTCTTTGTTAACCAATTTTGTACTTATTCCAACATGTTTAAAAAAAAATTAATGAAGTTATTTAAAAAACTGAAAATATAATCGGAGTGAAGAACATTTGAGTCCGTTGACAATTTTTTCGCAGTTTACATATTGCTTGATACAATATCCCGCATAATACGCCACTTTATATCGATACATGCAATTTAAAACATTTAGTCTTTACTTCGCTTTCTCGTTTAAGACGCGTTTTTAGTCAGGTTCCAAAAAAATCGTTTTAATAGGGTTTTGCTGTATATATGATAAAAAAACTACATTTATAAATATAAAAATTAATAATCAAATTTCAGCTCTCTAAGGTCTGGCAGGATTTTGTATAAACTGGCTAAAAAATTAAAATTAAAGTATTTTTTAGTAACGATCGACGCAAACCACCTATTTTTTTTAATTTGAAATTATATTCAAATGCAACTTCAAAACTGCAAATTATCCATAATTTAATAATTTACTTTGGTAACGTTGAAGTAAAAAAATAATTGTATTTTTCTACAGTAGACAAAGAACTATTTAACTAGTAGGAAATCTAGGAAATCAAAATTAAAAATTCGATTTTTTTTTCTATATATAGAGTTTAAAATAATTTTCATCCGAAGTTATGGCAGAGAACTGTATTAAATCGACCCAAAAAACCAAACTTGGTCCAAAAATTAAGTTTTTTTTTTCATTTTTCCTGAAACTATTAAACTTTGGTGTTGTTATTGCTTAATTTGATGTTTTAGGCAAATTTAAACCAGTTCCAATTTATGTGATGTGTTTCAATTGAATGTTGTTGATGTTGATGCTGATATTTCCATATATTTTGGATATTCTTCTAAACTAGATCTATATTAAATATTCTAGGTCTTAAGTTGTATAATAAATACTTTCATTAGTTGTTTTACGAACTTAACTGTTATTGATACTGTATCCACTATCATGTAAGAAATTTAAACATCGGCCTACTCTGTCTGAGAAGATTATAAATATTTGATACTCTGGGTTCGGTAAATTATTATGCCAGTAAAAATTTGGTTTTGGGTTTGCTTGAAGCTTACCGTAGCTTAGTGCAAATAGCTTTGGCCTTGCAATCTCAGGGTTGGATAACCTCCTCGCGCAGCCTGATATCAAGGTGTCACTACACCTTCAAGCGAAAATGTACATCAAAAATATATTTTCGAGTGAAAATAGCCCTTTGGCAGTATTGGCGCATCAAATTAAAAATATATTATTAGTATTAGATAAATTCTAATAATGAAACATATATCATAGGCCAACCGTTGGGTTGCCTACTAAATAACTGCGTTGCTAAAGAGAAGGTACATTGCTCTGCTAACGAAAAATAAAACAAAAAATATTAAATGTAAACAAATTTTAACTTGATCCTTGAAGGTTTGCTTATGAATAAAATTCAAGATTCTATATTGAAAGACCGATTCTGCCGCACAACAGACCAATGTTATGGCAAGGCAATGTTACGTTCCGACTTCCTTACATTATGCTACTGAATCATACTGAATACTGTCAAAATGTCATGTATTTGCTGTGCATTCAAGCGTTTTACACATAAACTGCAACGTCACTTATACGTTATGAAGCTGGGTCAGCAATACCCTGGTATCTGAGATCTTTTTCTAGGTTCGTTTCTAGGTTAGGTTTTCTATCTGACAACCTGACAAAAACACCTGACTGCACAGCAACCCCGTGGCTTTTGTCTATATTTAGTATGGAAAGTTCTTTATAACATTGGTCTGTTGTGCGGCAGAATTGGTATATGAATCAGTGTTTTCATTTTGATTTGATGGTGAATTGCGTTCAAAAACAGTCATTTTCACTAACAAAAGGATTTTTTTATTATAATGTATTATAATGATTAATAATGTTCAATTTTGGAATTTATCTGAAATGAAAGTAACTCACCAAATTGAACCCAGAATCTCACATGCACAATGACCTTTTATTCTACTTGTTCTGTTTTGTAAGAATAGGCCTAAAAATATATGAAACTTAATCTTGTAAGAATATACATAATAATTATAATAATATTATCTAAAACATTTTTTCAAGAACAAATAATTAAATATCTCATCCAAAATGTTTGTATCACAAATATCAATTTTTTTAGTAAACATATTAAACATCAACGCTAAGCGTTAAGTATCACAAACATATCGTATGGGCACAAATATTTCTAAATAATTACCGCGTTTGTTTTTTTACCAAAATTTATCATTTTTAGTCTGATCTAAATCTTAAAATTATGTAACTATCGAATCTTATACGACAAGACCGAGCACATTTTCCTAGGTCACTCTGATAAAAAAATCAAATTTTCGATAACTGAAATAGAACAAGGAAAATGTTTTATTTGTGGTTTCTCTAATAAAATTTTTATATATGCGCAAACAATATTTCGGTAAGGCATTTAATTTAGTTTCCAAAAACAAAAATTAGTTCATGAATTGAATTCACGTAGTGAATTATAAATTTACACAATCATTTTTTACAGAAATTATAAATTTATACAATCGAAGTATACAATGTGAACGATTTTCATAATTTTTTCACGTCGTCACTTATAGGCAACATCCGCTTGATGGCCTGTCGTCTATAGACGACACTCGTACACACAGGTGTTCAAGCGAATGTCGTCTATAGACGACGCTCATTGCAATAAAGTATATATATGTACCCATTCATTTCTATAGGAGCTTTATGAGAAATACATCGTATTGCATACCTAGTCATTAAAAATTCAGCAAAGTGACCGAAAAACTGAAACAAAAATATCATCACCACAAAACGCAAAATATTTCCTTAATTCGCTCCTACTAAAATTTTGTTACCTTCTGAATTAAATCTAGAGTCACATTATGATAAAGTTTATACATAAATTATTTTATGTATAAATCGTGTTGCTATAAAACTACTTTTATGTTTAGAAATTTTTACACTATTTATAAACTCAGATTCGAGTTATTATTAACAGAAAAATAATATTAAAATTACATTTATTACTATTAAAGAAAATAATTGAGTATTTTTTATAGTTAAGAGTTATTTTGATAGTTTTGATAATATGTTTATATAATGTCTCATTTTATTGGAATAATATATTTGGAGCAGTTTGCAAAAGTTTGATACCAAGACGTTTTCAAAATTTTTAAATAATCATAAAATAAATTATGGGAAGTCTTAATTGAAAAATTATTAGGCATATTAGAATATTACGTTCAGCTTAAAATAATTAAAGCTTTTATTAATCCAAAATTATCTTTTCCTCTTTACTCGTCTGGGATTTTGATGAAACCTTGCATGGTAATTAATAAATTCGATAGAGAAAACAAACTACTTAAAATATTATACACGTACAAAATATGGTTTAATTATAAAAATTAAATAAAACTCAGGAAAATATGGTGCCAGGTATAAGTACGTCTATAGTGTGTTGAGTTACTTAAATAAATAGAATAAACAAAATTCGTTAGTTGAGCTTTCTATACCAACGTCATGATTCAAATAATTTTATTCATCTTGGTAATAAACTAAAGCAATACTCCATTACTTCTTAAACATTGTTCAATTTATAGAGCTGCTACGTATTACTTTAAGCATTTTTACAAATTTCTCGTATACTGCAAAATAATTTAAAATACTATCGATTATAGACTTCTGAATAATATACGATATTTATCACATCAGAATGTGACCTCATATTCCTAATAAACATCATATACTTTTTGCCACTAGACCATCAAAAAAACTATCCGAGTGAGCAATTACAATGCAGTATATCGTTGTAGGTATCATATTTGGCACTAGCATATAATATCTGGTCTGATTAAGGTTTATCTAATAGAACTTAGGTGTTTGGTACAAATAAATATTATACTATTAAATATACCACATAGTTTTCCATTTGTTGTTTGTGAACATTTCAATAATAATGAATTTAAAAATTATACATACCAATTGCTTAATATGGGGCTTGGACAAACTAAAAGTACTAATATGTAGAAAAAAAAGTCAATAGTAACTGTAGATTATTTTCAAATAATCTATCCATTTATTACTATTACACTTTTCACATCAGAAAGTCCTTCGCGTCCTACTAGATCTCGCCAAAGCATTAAGAACCAACAATACTAACAACCAACGTAACGATGGTGAAGTTCCATTTTCAGGTGCACCAGTTACATCGCTTTGCGCAGCAAACTGTGCATCCGAAAGATGGTCAGAAGGTTCAACCTGCATATCCCCCCTATGCGTACCAGTCTCGTCCTGGTCACTATTTACGAGCGTATTATTATTTATCCGGGAATTTCTTTCGTCCCGGTTGACCGGCCGGAGTCAGAGCCTCCTTTGCCTCGTAACGTCTGCACTGCAACGCCTTCTGTCGGAACTTCCATTTCTAGATCCCTCCTGTCGATTTTGGCGCCTCTCGTCGCAGCTGGCTGCTCTGGTTAAAACTCCTCGACTACCTGATCCAGAACTTGATTCATCACTACTTCTCCGATCGCGTCGTCGTAAGGCGTCCCGTCGATCTAGCTCATGTGCCAGCATCCTGACTTCCCAATCTTCACGATCTCGTCTTTCGTCCCCTGTTCGACAATAGTCGTAGGCTTCTATATCATTATCCTCATCTTCTGCTTCTTCAGGAATACGAATCATCGTGTCGTTGGAAGTTTGGGGCGATTTTGGTCGGTCTTCTTCATCAAACTCAAAGTCAGAGCCTGAGCCTTAAAAATCAATTTATTGAATCCAAAAAGAACAAATATTGATACTCAAAAAATATTACTAATTATAAGTAAAATGGAATTGTAAATTCGATTTGCATACCCGAATCAGTATCTTCAGTATTTGCCTCTGAAGAATCTGAAGACATTTGGACAACTACTGTATCAGGTGAGGAATGATATACTCTGGTCAGATTTCCCGAAGCATCAGCAGTTAAGGTGAAGTTATCTGACTGGTCTTGAGGTTGTCTTTGATGACTCACAGAGTGTCTTCGTCTCTGAGTTCGTCTGTGTGATCTCGGTGATGGATATGTTGGACTAGGACCCATTCTGGGAGGTGAAGATGTGAAAATTGTGTCTAACGAATCCCCTCGCTTTATAAAAGAAAGTAATTAGATTACATGTAAATTGCACAAAATTATAAAACTTATGTATTGTTTAGAGCACAAATAATTGCGGCAATAAAAAATCGTTTATTATTTGTACCAGATTCGTGAGTAAATAATCAAAATGCTAATCAATTAAAAACAAATATTTTTATAGAAGAAAATAAAGTTGCATATTCACCATAAATGGATGGTCCGCAGACGAAGCATCGCTATCATTATCGCCATCTTCTTCCTCTTCGTCATGGCCATCCCTGTCGTCATCTACGTCAGTTTCTTTCCTGATGTCTTGATCTTCATCAAATTCCTCATTTTCTAATTCTCGTTCAGTGCTTTCTCCTCCACTACCAGCTTGCCGCTCCAATTCTTGTATCCGACCCTGCAGTTGGCTTATTATGTCATCACGTCGTCGAACCTCTTGTTCCAAACCACGAAACCGTTCTTGGAATTTTCCTTGGACGTCGTGCAGGTGACTTTGGATTACTTGTTTTATTCCTACTAAAACTTCGCCGAAGTATTCTTGTTCTTCCAAAGATCCTATTAAAAATTTAATTGTTATGTTTGGTTTACGTTTTTTTAAATGGTAGAATTAGCATTAAATGCTTTTACCACTTAAGAAAAAAAATAAAATGTTTAACCAAAACGTGATTATTGATTAGACATTATCAATTGTACCAATTTTATTGCGTCATTTTAAATTTCAATTTCAAGAAATTCGTACTATTGATTAAAATAACACAAAAAGAAAATAGTTATTCTAAAAACAACAATAATGAATTCACTTACCTCTAAGTAATTTCCTCTGATTCGATACAGCACTTAGAAGACTTAGTTTCGGTTTAGCAGTCCAAGGCGGTTGCTGAATAGGAGTATATATATCCTTAACAGGCGGAGGAGCAACTTCTACTACTTCCGCTGGCGGCTGTATCTGTTCCTGGTTTGCCTGAGTGAATTCTACCGAAACATGCGATTCCATGACATCTATTGAAACTGGTCTTTCTGCGACCGTTTGCGGTAACGAGAACATTTCGCTAGCTCGAACAGTTTCATTGGCACTATTTGGGGGGCTTGGTAATGTATTATTAAACGTAACACTTTTTACAAATTTACTATGCCTAGCAGCGTATCCTTCCACAGTTTGTGAACGTAACAACTGATGGAACTGATCTTTGTTCTGTGATTCTGGAGGAGCTGAGGTTGCACCTTCGCTTAAATGCTTTAAAATTGACTTCAGTCTTCTACGTTCTACTGTATCTTCGGCATCACCTTGACATAAATCCGGTATTAAAATTTCTACAGTATCTACTGGTAATTCAGCGCTAACTACAGGTTCGGACGGAGGTGCTATTTCAAGAGCTGTGCTTGTGGAATCTATCAGGGGTGTACATGTACTATCTATTTTAAGTGGTGCTTTGAAAGGACAAATGGCTAAAATCGCCGGTGCTTGTATATTACCTTTAATCGACCCTAGACCAGATGCGGCCGTGTCAGATTGACTACGAATTAGCGCATCTGCTGCAAAAGAAGCATCTGATGATGTGTCTGTATAATCTAAGCTTGAAGAACGTGTTTTTATAGCAGATTCTAGCTCTGCTAATTTCTGACGCTCATTCAGTATTTTTAATCTTTTCACAAACGGAAGACCGCTGTATTCTGGTGATAAATCGTCTATAGATAAGTATTTTTTCTTTTCTCGCTTCAATGGTAATATCACAGGCTTTTTCGTTTGCGTAACCGCAGGACTAACCGTCGGTGGCTCTTCAATAGTACTCAATCGTTCTTTTAATATCTTTCCTGGAGTATCAGATGCTGGAAATTTCTTAGAAGGCTTAGTAACGGCACTTTTTACAGGTTTCTCCAAGTCATCATTTAGTATAGTTGCTTTTTTCAATTTGTACCAAGGTTTATGTGCTTGTTCTGTATCTGTTTTGTATGATTCAGAAGCTGAATTTCTCCTCTCGCTTAATCTCGAATGCCCTTCATCTTTTGGACTAAAGTTACCTAATAACCTTAATTTATCTTTAAGCGGAATTGCATTAGACAATGTCTGAGATTTTTTTTCCACTGGTGAGTCGGACTTTGCGGATTCTTGAGATAAGCCTATCTGCAAACTTTTTATACGATCTTTAAAACTTACTTTCATTTTAACTCCTTGTTGGGAAGATATACTGCCGGACGAATGCGGAAGAGTACCTTGTTCTGGCGGGAACGTTTTCGTTAATGGACTAGTAACTTTTAAATTCGATTTGGTTAGAGGAGAGGTTTGTGTTGGACTGGATACGTGTCCAGGAGGTTGTATATGGAGTTGGAATCTAGCATGTTTTTCAGGTTCTTTATCTTTTTGTTTTTCTTTTTGGTCCAATTTTTCTTTTTCTTCTTTGGCTTTGAGTAACATTAGTCTCTGCAGAAGAGGAAGTCCTGCTCCGATCACTTCACGTGGTTCGTCTTGTACAGAATCTTGAGGCGAAACGGTACTTTTCACTATGTGGTGTTTTGGTGACGACTGGAGTAAAGGTACCATTCCTTTGGAGGCTCTTTCTTCGCGGTCCTAGGAATAAGATAAAATATTTGTTAAAAATAGCAATGGTATTTGAAAGAAATAAATCGTAATACCTGTTTCTCTTTGAGCATTCTGAGACGTGTTAGTAAAGGAAGACCGGCACCTAAAGGAGATATTGTTTTTTCTTCGGTAGCTCCAGATTCTTTACCGTCAGTATCATCATTGCTCAGATCATCTGATGTAACTCTCTGCATTCTTCTTAACATACCTTTCCTGCAATTTGATGTTTGTGTGATTCATGAGTTAAATTCACTGAATTTTATTATTAAATTATCTATTAATTAGTATTTTATGCAATTATTGAAATAGTTGTGATTTACCCCGTTCCTCTACTGCCCCCATGTAGTGGTCTCAACTCCATAGAATCCGCATCGTGTCGACTTGCCCTGCTTTTTCGCAAAACGCTTCGTAAGCCACTGCGGACGTCGCTGCGCAATCTAGCCACCATACGTTTCGGACCACTTTCATCTCCAGTGCCGTCTGGAGTGATGGGGCCACTTTCTTGATTCGTTACGCCCTTGGCAGCATGAGACGACCTTGTGCTCGCTAAGAAGTAATAATAATAATAAGTAGTGATGCATGCATGGACCATGGACCTTACAACCTAGACCTTATACTACATGAACTGCTAGTCGAGCAGGTGTCAAGAGATAGAAAGCGACAGTGACGTCACATTTTTGACCGCCAAACTTTTTTCATTAGATCTCTGAAATGTACGGGTCAATTCTGCCGTAACATAGACGATAAGATAGCCTTGTTATGACAAAGCTATGCTATGCTTGTTTCTTAGTAGTAAAAACTGTCTATCTACTTGCTGTACAATCAGGCGTTCTACACATAAAACTATATGTTATAAATGCGATTCACGAACATTCTTTCATGCTTTGTTTATATGCCAAATTGTTCAGAAACCTTTAAAACTTTTTCCCATGAAAAGTTAATAATAGTAAATCAACAATACTAAATATTTAGTATTTAGTATGTTTAATTATTGTAATAATTGCAGCAAATTGCGTTTATAAAAAATTAGGGAACGATTCTGCCGTTAAATAGAAATTGTGCAGTCCAAATCGCACAGCAAATACATAATATTTTACAGTTTTTACTACAATTTTATATGAGAAGCGCTACGTAATATAGCCTTGCCGTACCATCGGTGTGTTTTACGGCAGAATCGGCTACTTAATTGGCGTATTTTATTTAGTATTAGGATGTTAGCTAAAACGTATGAATATTAAATAACATAAAAATTTAAACAACTTATATATATATATATATATATATATATATATATATACAATATATGGATTATAGTAAAATAATGTACGCCATTAGCGGGTATATCAGGAACTACGTTCATACAACATTCGAACCACTAATCGCGCAAAGGGGTTGTTCGAGTTTGTACTAGAACTCGTATCGACTGTAAGCCGTAAGATAGCACGTATAAATTCTGGTATTTTTATGTGAATTTTAAAGATAACTAGTGGACATGGCATCGTGCCTTGAAACAAATTGCTGAAACTTCTCGTACCGCAATTTAAAATTTTTAAAAGCCTTTATTTTTCCAAAATTTTTGAATTTTGTTCAAAGCGATCGTGCTACCTTTGTTTTTGACGCAAAGTGTAAGCGTTAAAAGTACCATTACCATTTTTCAACCCTGATTAAATGCGCCAACATTTGATGAAACTTGCGAACAAACTTTAGTACATTTTTTACAGAAAGGCTTCTCAGTGTCGACCGATTTTAGAAATTTTAAATACATAGTTCAACAAAATGTTCTAATTCTTAAAAACTTGGGGCAATTGTGTTATTATTTTAGATTGTTATCCTAGAAATGTTACGTTGAAATAAACAAAAATAAAAAAAATAAAAAGTTGAAATAAACAAAATAAGTAAAAATTAACCATAATACCCAAAAATTGGTCATAATTACACTAAAGCTCTAGTATGCATATAATGTTCATAATTTCCAAATGCCGTGAGATTTTTTTTCCTAATTTTTTTCAGGACATTTCAGATCAACACTATCACCCCGTTTCGGATTGACGTCAAGATCTGAGGCACCCTTTATTTATTAAAAAAGTAAAGATGTCCTCATTCCTCGAATACCCATAATCCCGACAGATATAGCATTTCAATTTGAAAGATAGTCATTATATCTGCGCAGCCAGTGGAAAAACAAAAAAATATGCTGTGTATCCACTAATATTGTAAAATTATAATCTTATGAAATTTGTTCCTTGTTTTTCTTTGTTTTTGCTTGTTTCTCATCTCTCAACCATTCGTATATATATATATATATATATATATATATATATACATATACATATATATATATATATATATATATATATACATATACATATACATATATATATATGTATATATATATATATATATACATATATATGCATATAATATGAATATCATAATAAAATTTACCTTTAGCGCCTTTGCCATATTTTCGGGCGCAATTTCTCACTTCCATCAACCGTTTTCGACCTAAAGATTGGAGTATTTCTTGGGCTTCCGGATAATCCTTCATAGCCGTTAATACGTCTTCTCTGGATAAAGAAAATAATTCGGAGTAACCCACAGAACGAACGTCCGCTGTACGCCTATAATAATAATAAAAATAATAATATTAATAAATAATCATTGAGTAATTCTCTGGAATAAATACAAATATAAATTGTTCTACAAAAATAAGATATACCATTTTGGAGTCAGGGCACATGCTTGTGAAAATAGCGGTAATTTTTAGTAAAATTCATTCTCAAGAACATTTATTTGCAGCAGATATAAATAAGCAAATTAATCTTGAAAAATAGTATATCATTTATCTCACGATTCGTAGCCATGCCTTAAATTTTATCTATAACTAATGTTACAAAATTTACATTTTGTTAGTTAAGTATGTCAAAATATAATCAACTATTAATTTGTAATAATTTTCATCGATATTAACAATCCTACATCCCAAATACAACTGGACAATTCAAATTTACAAAAATTATGCGTTCTCTGAATTACATTCAGATACCATTTACAAAAAGTGTTAACCAACCGAAATATACATTACACATATATTATCCCAGTCACCAGAGCATAAATAATTTAATAATATAGTAATATAGAAAACAAATTAAAATTTTCGCACGGAAAATTCCTTTCCAGTTCATTGTACAAAGAATGAATGTGTCGCTTTTTTATTCCTGTAAAAGTAGTAATTGAAATAAAAAAGGTAATTCGATATAGGTTAAATGCGTTTTGTATAATTGTAATAGAATTATTGGCCGCTATTTTTTATTTTATGTGTTTCGTATATAAAGAGGAATTTTTATCCGAAATAATCATATCGCACTTTAGCACAATATCCAGTAAATCGAAAACCATTCGATAATTTCTAAAAATCAAAATGAAATTCGCAGTAGTTCTCACTTTTGTTGCCTTTGTGGCTTTTGCATGCTTAGTAAGTATAAACAAATTAATTAAATTATAATAATATATATATATATATATATATATATAAATATATAAATTTAAAATAAATGTTTTACCTAATATTTTAAAATTTTAGGCTCATGGAGTAAATGCTCAAAAAAGCGGCAGTTCAGGTAAATATATTAATTATACTAACTATATTACATACAAAGCATATTTTGTTTCGACCAGTTAATTTTTATAATTTTTAATTTTCATTTTATTCAAATATATAATATAATTATATGACAACTAAGTTAATTTTACCACTTGTTAAAATTTAGCATTAGATAATGTTTAAATAAATGGTTGCTTCGGTCTACAAATTTTTGCTCATCTACCTAATTACTAGGAGCAATTTTTGAACCTTTTAAATGTACATTATTAAAATGCCGCATACCAGAAAAATGTTACGGCAAGGCCATGTTATGAAGAACTTTTTATACTACATATTGAAAAAGCAATGTGGTTGGTACGCAGGCAGGCGTATTTCTCAGGTTGTCAGATAGAAAAAAGTTCTTAGATAACAGGGTCTTTCTGACTCAGATTCATAACATACTAGTGACATTGCAGTGTCAAAACCTGAATGCAAGGCAAATGCATGATATTTTGACAGTATTCAGTAGCAAAATGTATGGAAGTTGGAGCGTAGCATGGCCTTGCCATAACATTTTTCTGGTATGCAGCAGAATCGGGCCCTATATTTTATATTTATATTATATTTATATTTATATTATATTTTTCGTTTTCGATAGCTTCCCAATCAGCTGGAGGTGAAGCTGGTGCAAACGCAGGAGCAGGTTTTAATTTTGGAATAGGCGGTAATGCTGGTGCAGGTGGTGGTGCTGGTGCAGGAAATGAAGCTGGAGCTGGCGCAGGAGCAGGTATTATTATACTTTTATTTTATTTTAACAAAAATAGAAATCTTAAACTTTCACATATTAGTTTTATAGCCCCATTGATTGAAATAAACTTTTATCCTTTATCTAATTTTAGGTGGCAAAGCAGGATTTGGAATGAACTTTGGCGCAAGCGCTGGTGGCAACATAGCAGGAAAAGCACAAGAAGCTGCCAAAGCTGCAGGACAATCTTAATTATGCAAAAAAATAATTAAGTACAATGAGCACACTTAATAAGATACACTAAGCACATACTTTGTACCAGAGACCTAATAAACATTGAATTTTATTTTCCCCAAATAAATGTTTATTTTATTTATGAGTAACCAAAATTTACTAATTATCATATTTTTTGCAATTTTTTGTTCAAGCGGATAATAAATTTGGGGGCCAATTCTCCAATAAAATATAAATTTTATGGCAATGCGTTGTTATGGGTCTGTTTTCGTATGATTGGGTAGAAAGAACTCTCAAAAAGTGATGTATTTGCTGTGCGATCAGGTGTTTCACACATAAAACCTAACCTACAAAACGCACAAGCGTCAAATAACAATTTCATCATAGTAGCATCTTTTTGATATCTCATTGATAACATACTTGAAGTTAGGTTTTATGCGTAAAACGCCTGATCACACAGCAAATACATAGCTTTTGACAGTTATACTACAAATTCATATGAATATAGACCCCGTAATATTTTTGAAGAATTTCTCTCATAATATTATTATAGGATTATATTAGAAAAAATTATGATACTACGAGAATTTTCCCAAAGTAGGTTGTGATATTTGGTAGCACCGTGTTTTCAAACCGCGCAAGTTCTTGTTTGAAAAGATAGATAGAAGTAACATATAACGAATAAATTCAAAAATATTTTGTAAATGTGTTTAAATAACTGGTAACACCTTATAACAATAACGCCCTTTCTATTATTTTTTTGGAAATAGTAAGAGTGTTTAAATTAAAATTTTTGGCGCTAAAAACGTGCCTAAAACATAATATACAAATAATATGCTGTCCAGCAAACAAACTTAACTTACTAAAATTATCAAAAAATATTAACGAGAATATGTATCTTTTAAAAAACTAATTATAAATTATAAGAACAATAAATAAATTAATTATTATATAAAAAAAATAAGTAATTAAACTTGCACTAGGAATATACAGACAATACAACGTACATGGAGTTAACATCTATTCATTTTGATATTTGGGATTAGAAGTTGTGAAAAAAACATGTTGGCCATTTTGTATGATATACCTATGAAACACACACAACGTAGCTGCAACGCAGCAAAATACATATGACGTTTATAAGTATACGCAACAACCACGTGTTGTTAACGTAACTAGGCACTAGCTTCGCAACAAAGTTATCCCGTACGCTACATAGATTTAACTTTCGTTGTTTAATGGATGATCCCATTATTCCCTTTAGCAAATAAAGATTAGTATCAATTACTAACTCACTTGTTAAGTCCATCCAAATTAAGTATCCCGATTTCTCCAAAAAAGTCCCCAGCCTTCATAGTAGTGAGAACTCGTCCAGTTTCACTGATGACTTCCAATATTCCATCTGCAATGATGAACATCTCTCGTGCAACCTCACCTTTGCGACATATTGAGTCACCAGGAGTGAAAATGTACGCTTTCATTTTGAGGACCAGATCGTGCAAAAATTCGGGCTGGCACTCTTGAAATATTGTCACCTAAGGAAAATGAAATACACTTGTTGATATTTGGTACGAAATAGAATCCAGCAGATGAACATTTGAGAAACTGCCTAAGATATTCCTATGTACCACATGAAATTGGACTGAGAACGGCTGCACTGATATAAAAAATTTGACAACCATTGGATAAAACTCAGTAAGTTTTAAAAATTATCAAAAAGTGTTAATATAAAGAAACAAAAGTCGGCCGAGTTTACTAATAGAAACATCAAGAAAAATATATTCGATTCTATTGGAACTCAATGTTATTTTAATTAACCTTCTTCAATACGCTGAGATTAACATGTAGTGCCAGTTCTGTCTTAAGTTTGTCTGGTAACAAGCCCAAGGCAGTATTGATATCGCCACCGCCTTGAATTCTGCCCCTGGACCAACTGTAGTCGTACCAGCGTAGAACTCGCCTTTTCATACCACCAGGAACCTAAGAGATCAAATAAAAAACTTAAGAAATGTGATAACTAATGTGTTTGATATTGTTTCAAATAATTAAGTATTGTTCATTTCCCGCCTCGGTCAAACTGATATCGACGAGTAGTGATACCAGTTTTAATTTGGAAGTACAGATTTAAATATGATTGCAAGTGAAAATAGCCATTTGGAGTATTGGTACAATATCACGATTAGAAAGTAGCTCTTTAGAGAAAAGCAAGGATAATCATTGGATTATTAGAAACAACAGCTTGTAGAACATCTAGTTCAGATTGCTGGTCAACCAACAATTATATATTTTTAGACAATATTGTAGATTATTGTGTATTATTATATTTACCTTATGGTGTCTCATATAAGTCTTGGCTCCGTCCAATAATCGTTCGAATTCCAGTCTATTTGCATTTCTATTTGTAATAACGTTGCCGACTTGGCCGACAATTGTTGCAAAAATAAATACACCTATCAGGTAACTCACGATTGTGAAGACGTACCTTTGGAGAAAAAAAATCCATTAAATTGTAGTAAATACTAAAATACTACTATTTATTTATTCTTGAATCAATTCATGGCTCATCCTGAAGAAACAAAACAATAAAAATAAATAGATGATATGTGACATAAATAAAATATGCCAGAACAATTACAAATGTGCAAGTATTTAGTGGTTTTCGAACATCCAAATAATCAAATTAAATCTATAACAAAACATCACAAAATAATCAAGAGAGTAAAACTGGATTTATAACACAATAGTTTTAACAAATGTTGAAGGCTGTTCGAAAACTTGTCTAAATACCACTGCTATTTAAAATAAATTTAAAGTATAATTTCATGAATATTTTAATGATTCCTAATAAGTCAATATAACAACACTAAATTGATTAATTAGTCTGGTATTTAAAATGCAATCAAGTTTTGATTTTTTTTTCGAAGTCAGCAAACAGCCTCCAAATTCTTGCCCATATGGAAAAAATGTGATCAGCTTCAAAACAACGACCAAAAATAAAGGAAATAAAATTATACAATCAAAATTACTCTGATTGGGTTACACAAACCAAATTTTATTGATATAATAAAAGATTTAAATGTATATTATCAAAAGTGTTTAGAGAACTTCTGGTACTGGTGTTTCTTTTACACCGATGTCGATATTTTACGACTGTCACATTTTTTCGTTATCCACCCCAGTTTTATTATCAAAATAATGGAAACGTACCCCTGATTGGATCGAAATTGCAATAGACGCGACTTGAGACCTCTTCTTGGCACTGATTTGGGGCCGTCAGCTGAGTCCGAAGGCCTGATGTATGTTTACAAATATTAAATGATGATAATATATGATTTTAAAGCAAATAATAATACATTGTAATTATAAAATAGCAAGAAATGAGAGTGTGATGAAATTCTTTACATTCGCAAACAGTACAAAATGAAATTCGAGAATATGGAAGTAAGGTACCGATTCTGCTGCATAACAGACAAATGTTATGGCAAGCCCATGTTACGCTCCAACTTCCACACATTATGATACTGAATCATACTGAATACTGTCAAAATGTCATGTATTTGCTGTGCATTCAGGTGTTTTACACATGAACTGCAATGTCACTAGTATGTTATGAAGCTGGGTCAAAAACACCCTGTTATCTAACATCTTTTTTTTGACATTTGTGCGGTTTCTAGGATATGTTTTGCATCTGACAACCTGCGAAATTTGCCCGACTGCACAGAAACTGCATGGCTTTTGGCAATATTTAGAATGAATATGTAAGGAAAGTTCTTTAGAACATAGCAAGGCCATAAGATCGGTCCCTAAATCTGAATCTGGATAGATCAATTTCTATTTTATATCCATGTTTTTATTCATAAATAAGCATATAAAATATAAAAAAAACAATTATTTATCCACAAAAATATAAGTTTTTCGATGAATAATTTTAAGAACTCCACTAGCTTCATTCCCTTCGAAAACATTCATACGTTCTATAAGATTTATTCCCATAATAAATTCGTTCCTCATTTTGATTATTTTGAATCCATATTTGTATGTTATCATAGTTTATTTTAAATCCATACTCGTATTCATAAATTATATAATAAAAATGTAACATAAAATATAACTTGGTGTAAGTGGCATTTTGCCTTAATATAAGGCAAGTTTTATGAACTTCCCTTATATTAACTTCGTTATTCAATGACAAATGAGATTTAACAGCTGTTAAAATTTGAACAAAATTTTGGAATTTGGATTTTGATTTATTTGAAATTTTTTCCAGTATATCAATTTCTGATAAATTTTTATAATCAAACGGTTTTTGAATATTCAAAACTAGATCAGAATTTTTAGTGAAAACTTGGATACAAAATTTCTGCTAATTTTAAAAAAAATGCTAGGCCCATTGTCTATCAAAAATAATAAATAAGAGTCCTTTTCGAGATTCAGCAAATGGAAATTTATCATTTTTTTTACTATTTTTCAGAAACTTTTCAGAACTTTACCCAAGATATAGTTTGTGAAAATTTTACAAGTTTAAAAAAAGCGCTTTGCAAAATTGATATTTCAACGTGTTATGTTACTGAAAATTTTTCACAAATATTATAAAAAAATATTAGTAGAAATTTATATATCAATCGTTGATATATTTTAAAACATACCACGTTTTCTAAAAAATATTAAAATGAGCTTTTAAAGCTCATAAAATCAATGAGAGTCCATGTCGATTTACAAATAGTTTTTAAATTGTTGATGTCTGTGCAGTCGTTTTTTTAGAAAATTTTTTATCGACAAAAATTCAGCTCACATGTTCACACACAAACATACTATTTTCAATTGGTGTCAAAAGATTCAGAATCAGTTGTAACGCCAAGAAAGTATAATAATTAGCAAATTGGATTTTTTGGCAAAAACTTCTCCTATAGGAAAATTTAAAAAAAAATGTTAGTTACCAAACAAATCTTTCTTAAAAAAATAATTTTAACCCACTAGCATCACTTTCTTCGAAAGCATTCGTAATATATATAAGTTTCAGGAGTTTTATTCCCATAATGATTACGTTCTTCGTGCAATTAAAAAGTTCTGCATAAAATGCGGTTTTTCATCTTTTTCATCTCGATTCCATTGAAGTGGTTTTTCGAGAACACAAAGTTTTGAACAAAGGGCCACAGGTTAGCTCTTAAAATGATTTCAATGTAGATCTTATGCTCTCATTGTTTTTTGCAATTACCAAATAAAAAGTGGTTATACCATGAAAACCGTCTTTTTCACATTATTATACGCGATTAAATTAGAGAAAGTTTCAGTAACGTTTAAATCACGTATAATAAAAAAATTATTTGTATTTGACTTATATACTTTTTAACCTCCCGCAGGGCAAGTTATAGTAATCGCAAAAAATCGAAAATGAAAATTTTATATATTTTTACGTTTTAAAGGTTTCTAAATATTTTAGCATATCTTAGAAAAAATTGATGTATATGTGTGTGTGTGTACGGATACAAATTTTCGTCGACGATTTCGGGAACACCGATCAACCGATTTGAATAATTCAAGAAACAAAAAATTATCAATTCGATTCGTATTGATAGGAGACGTGCTGATTAGTTTTTGGCAAAGGCAGGTCTAGCCGTTACGAAGATATGAGGCAAAAAGTGCCAAAAACGGTAACTCAAATTTTAGAAAAACGGAGCGTCCGATTTGAATAATTCAAAACATTTTGATTGTATTAACAAGATGAAGAACTGATCAAATTTTCATAAAGGTAGGTCTAGTGGTTTCGGAGATCAAGTAAAAAAAGTAAAAAAAAATGCCAATTGGCGGTCAAAAATGATCATTAGACATATGCACATCAAATTATCAGATACTTTAGAGATTTTAACAAAAAGTATACATTTTGTATACATTCCTATAGGTTCCGTACCACTGCTTATCCGTTAGACGGCGACGCGGCGCTTACGCGCTTCGATATTTCGTCTCTATTCAGTTAAAGCAGTACGATTGCTTTGAAAAAAAGTTCAGAATATCCAAAATATTTCAAAATAAATTTTTCTTCAAAAAGTCAATTTTTTTTAGAGTATTTTTTTTTCAAAAATGTTAATCTTTTTAAAAAAAATAATATTTGGCACGGGAAGTTCCAGCAATTAGCCTTAAGGCACGATGTCATGTGCCCCAAAAGTTTAAATTTGATTTAAGAATTTAAAGCCCGTTAGCATGTAATGATTAAAAACATGAGCTAGCATGAATTAGTCCCGGGTTCGACTCCAACCTCGTCCAGCTCGATATCAAGTAGTATGATATCAAATTTTTACTTGAGGTTATAGATCAGAAATGTAATTACTTGTAAAAATCGTTTTTAAAAGACATTAATGTAACATATATACACATAAAAAAAGAGTTCAAAAAATTATATATATATATATATATATATATATATATATGAATTAATAATCAGTATTTGCTAATTAAAATAGAGATTATTATGTCCCTAGTTTTAACGACCATAACTATCCCACATTAATTCCGGTTCCAACTTTTGCCTTGAAATATCAGAAAATCAAATCACACTAATTAAACTGTAAAGTGAAAAACTTTTAACTGGCTCACAAATTGCATCAAACAATTTCATAATGAAGTGATTCAAATAGATAAAATTCTGTCACGTACTCAAGAAACGAAATAATCATGTTGTTGAGAGATAATTGATCAAATGATTTAATAATAGTTGAAGAAAACTTAATTAAGGCAATTTGTGAAAACAGACTATTTGATGAGAAACTTAGAAACGATACTTTTAGAATTAATGTGCCCTACATGAGTCCAATATTTTTTTTAACAGCGATCAAAAAACGTGTTCTATCCATGTCCATCCTCTAATCTAATATTCTTACTGGCGAGTGCAACCCAGTGGTCTGCCCTTCACCCTTCTTTTATGTGTAGACTTATTTGATAGTAGATATATTTGACATACATATAAGTGTTGGCATGTACATGTGTGTTGCAGCAATGCCTACTAAAGGCAATTTTCACTTGTGATCTATAACTTCAAGCAAAAATTTGATATTACACTGCTTGATAGCAAAATGGCCAAGGTTGGGATTATGGCCGGGTTTGTGCTGCCAAAATTTCTTAACTTTTGCATGACGACGGGCTCACTGAATTTCCTATTACTATTTTTTTAAACCGGCAAACAATTAATCTATCTACAACCCTTGTCCAATATATATCAGTATCCAAAAGCCCAAAGGCGGAGAAAGACGATATAATTAATTATATCGTTGTAACTTTATCATTCGCCATGTGAATATGTCATATTTTTTTCTCGAAATAGAAGAAAGTAATAAGAAATTGTGAATCAGCAAGTTTCCTTTCGGTATAAGCTCTTAATCTGCTTCTTTACGAGGCGAGGTCTGCCTAGATATTACGTAAACATCCACGAATTAAAAGCATATATATATATATATATATATATATATATATATACATATATCCATATAATTTATAATATTTTTGGATATAATTTTTTTTTACTGATTGTTTCGATCCACGAACCTCGATTCAATTATGCAGCAATTCACACCGCAGTGTCCGAGATGGGATATTTTCAATTGGAAACATATGTTTCTTCTAACGCTACTTAACGATATCAGGTTGTCCACAGCGAAGTTTGAATTCACGACCTCATCCACACAAGTTTTACCATTACATCTGAAAGCTCTCTGTTTCCAATTGAAAACAAGCCCTTTTCGGGCACTGCGGTGTGCAACGGCAATGGTAAATCTCTAACACTATTTTTTCCTGAATCGAGTTGGAGGTTAACTCAGCTCACGGACCTGCCCTAGGGCAGTACCAACCATTATTATATAATTATATAAAGTTATAAATTCAATAAATAGTAATATGAATATAGGATATGGATATAAATTTTTAAAAAAGCTCTGAAATTTTATACGACATACTAATTAAAAATTGAGTCTTACATTTATCCGCGTAAATGGTTTCACTTTCGCTTATAAATAATGAAAAATAAACTGAGATTCACTAACAATATTTCAAAAAAAAATTCGCATGGAAATCAATAAACGCATGAAAATCAATAAACCCTTATATGCATTTTACCATCATCAATAAGATTATTTGCTTAAATATGAAAATGTCGCAATTATCATTCTTAATATTTTCATCTATGATAAAAATATTAATTTGTGTAAAAACAAAAGTAGTAAAAGTTTATTAATGAAAAAAATTATATTAGTTTTGAATGAAGTTCAAATAAAATTTAGTTTACTCACTCTGCGTTGGTTTCAGGCGTGGGCAGATCTCCTATAGTTGTCAATGTGAGGGTAGACCAATATAATGATCCTAAATATTTTCTTGTTAATGTGGCATAATCTCCAGGCCGATGTGGATATACCCAATCACCCTGAAAAGTAATATTTATTTTAATTATTAATATATATAGCACTATCCAGTGGAAGAAACCAATATGTATGCTTCTACTCAAAATGAAATTTGAGACTATTATAGATAAACAAGTATATTGAACACTACAATCAACAGAAACATTATAATAGATTTATTAAAACTTTGTAAAATAGATTTATACAATTGAAAATTAGATCACTTGAAATTAGAATTATGGATATTTGATATTAATAAAATTGGCTTTTTGGCTATAAAGATTCATCTAGACACCATTATAATAAATTAATATATATATATATATATATATATATATATATATATATATATATATATATAATTTTTTTAATATTTTACCTGAAAACCTTCAGCTTCTGACAACAAAAAGTAAAAACAGCCAAACCAATGGGCCAATATCAACAATATGTGAATAAGGTTGACAACTCGCCACAAATTAGGCCAAACTGTTCGAGATTCAACCATGTAGTAATAGTTCACAGCTCTATACACCTGAAAATATATATCATTTATTAATTTATTAATTAAATAAATCTACGTATTTATTGGCTAAATGATATTGTAATTAAAAATAAAAACTAGTTGGTATTGGTATTTTGCCTTGAGGCAAGTTACATAAACTTCCCGACATGTGTAATTAACCGACTTAATCAATAAAAAATAAATTAATTTATGTGTGATCAAAAGTATTCCGAGTGGATTTATTACCCATATTTGAAAACGAACGAACACGTTAGCTCGGAGTATTTTCTAAAAGCAAATTTTCAAAAATCAATCATTTTTATAATTGAACCAGTTTCCGTAGGACCTTAATGGTTTAGTATGTTCATTAAGATCAAGTACTCTATCGTTATACCAAGTAAATCGTCTAATTTTAATTTTAACAAACGTCAAAAAAACTATTAATTTTCTCAAATTTTGATGAATTTTTAAAATTAAACTACTCGTTGTAAGACCGTAATATTTCAGTGAGTTCTATAAGACCATGATATATATCGCCAAAAAAAGTTTCATAAAAATCGGATTGAATTTTTTTTTTCAACAGTTAATTAAAAGAAAACGGCTCGATATAGTTTCACCTGCAACTAATCAGTATCACTCCCAACTAATATCTTTCGAACAGTTTTTTATTTTTTTACATCGATTCGGTAGCATGAACTTAAATGTGAACGAAAAATTTAACACTTTTTTCGAAATTACAAAGAAACTATATTCCTCAGCAAGATACATCAAATGGCTTTTAAATTTCTGAAATCGGTTCAGGCGTTTTGACCGTTGTTATGGCAACGCTATGTTACGCTTCTTTCTTGGTACTAAAAACTGCTAAAATGCTATGCATATTGCATTTTTTGTAGCCACTTTAAGCTCAAAACTAGTAAAAAAAATAATAAAATTAAATAAATAAAAGTAAAATAATTGTGTTCTATTACAAATTAAATCTCTCTAGGTACGTTATGTGATGGTTTGGTAGCAATATTTTGTATAAGTATTACATATTTGTTATAATATTAAATTTTAAGTATTTAATTACTATTGTAAATATATTATTATAAAGTTATAAAATTAAAATTTAAGTATCAATGTGATAAGTTTTTGTTATTACCTTCAAAAATCGAGGAAATCTGAGCATTGGCTGAGGTCCCAGTTTCAGTTGAAGTAAGTCTAGCGGACAAAGGGCGCACAAGTCTAAAACGAAGGCACGAGACTGCAAGTAGTGCCCAGCCAGCTTCTTACTATCGTACACCTGGAATAAAATGGAAATTAAGTAATAATTTAACATAAGACACATAAATAATACCTACTGATTTTTTTAATTAGAAAATTTGCCACACCTGTTAAAATGTATCAATTATTAGGGGTAGTGTAATTTATACTTATTATAAAAAACGTGTATTATGTCTATTGTTACGTAACCCTAATAAAAATAACATACGTTTCGAGTCAGTGCGTTGACCCATGGGTAGGTAACTAACTCCGGAGTTAGCACTCCGATACAACTCCTCCCTGGAAGTGAGTCCGAGCGGAGTTGTATCGAAGATGTTGACATATCCGACTTTCCTATAAACTGGTGTTATTTCTGGTAACACGTACAGACATTTGCTTTAGATTTTTTACTAATACAAAGATTTTCGTCGAAAAAGCGGTCGCTTTCTCGCTCACAAGCAATTTTATGACTTTTTAGGTACAAAATGTCCAAAATAATACAATTTTAAAAGACCTCTTTCAATAGTATACAACCAGCAAAAAATATTAAGTACTATATTATTACTTTAACAGAATTATAACTTTATAATTGTGTGAAAGTAATAGTATGCTAATCAAACTACCTAATATACAATTAATTCTCGAAAAGAAAATATAAGGGGAATGTGAGGTTCTATTATTCAATTTTATATAATATTTTGATTCTCAAATTCTCTAAAATCCAATCCATCATTTATTGGAATTTTGTTTTAAATCACTGTTCTATTGACACTTATTTATTCATAAATTGTCAGGTCGCCCGATTGCCGAAATTACCCTGATATTTTAATTATTTTATGGTTTCAATTTCGACATAAAAAAGTTTGAAATGTTGTGAACTATTTTCAAATATTTAATAAATCCTGAAGTATATAAATAACACACTATAGAATATATTTGTTTCGAGTATTAGGTTTCAAAGTTGTCGGAGTCGTCGGAGTTGTTAAGTGGATGTAACTCCTTTCTGAAGCAGAGTCAAATCCTAATCTATCCGGTTTCGGATATGATAAGCCATTTTTCAAATAACTCAATAGTAGATTCTAATAGAGTCCAAAGTGAATTGAATAATTATGTATTTATTTATATTATTTTATTAGATTAAGAGACGATTGCAATAGACTGATTGATGTTGATTGATGCTAATGAGAATAATTCTATAAAAGTTTCTAATAAAATTCAAAACAATTTATATAATTAATTATAATTAAGCAAATATTTTAAATATTCCTAGTTTAGAAAAACGATTACAATAGACTATCAGACAACTATAAGGTTTTCACTTGTACATTATTATCATCTACAACAAACACACAGATCCAAGTTAAGTAGCAAAAAAAAGTTTTAATGAGAATAATTTTATAGTTGTTTCTAATAAAGTTCAAACCCTAGTAAATAATTAATTAGTTTAAAAACAATTGCACAAACTAATGATTTTCACACAGAAGACTTTATAAAATTAAAACAATCGGCGTGCAAAGTTAAAAAAAAACAACCGCAAAAATAATTTAACACGTTAATCGCCGCGATAATATATAGCAAAATTTTCTCGTAATCCATAGTATTAAATAATTTAATTTAGGGTGCGCCATTTAGCTTGAATAATTTTCAATGAATTTTAATAAACATTTTTTTTGTTATCAAATTACCTAAAAAATGTAAAGCTTTAAATTTGATAATAAAAAAAGTTATTGAAAATTGTTCAAGTTATTCAGCATTTCCATTGACCACATATAAATGGCGCACCCTGTGTCAAAAAACCTTATTGTATCAAAAAAAAAAATTGCTAAAATTTCTGGAAAAACATTATTTTGCAAATCACACATATGTGACTGACATGGATTTATATTAAACTTTTTCCTACCAAATTCATTTATAAGACATACCATATATGTCTGACATGGCTCCTGCAGAACTTCTGAGCGTCAAGCACATAAACTGGCGTTTAATGTGTTAAATAATAACAGAATTTTCAAAAACTAGTTATTTCGTAATATTTTTTTAATATCAAAGCACGTAATGTAAATTCAGTCCACAATGATAAAATCCGCAATCATATAACTGTTTAGTTTAAAATGTCCAAAGGCAATAATATAAGCGACATTTATTTGTTGGAGATAACCGAATAATGACTTCAGGCGTAGTAAATAACATTATATAGTAAAATGACTAATGGTGTGCAATAAAATTATACGATTACTATTTCGAATGTTATATATGACAATAAATATTTGACTATGACAATTAAAATTACTGCAAGTAATAAAGGAGTTTCATATGAACCAAATCGAACTTCAATCATTAACTTGCACATATTCCAGAATTTATAGTAATTTTGCAAAAAAATATATTTTAATAAATCTATTGCATCAAATTTATTGTATGTCCTTTACTGGGCAATTGTAAATAAAAGAGATAATAAAAAAAATTATTGCAGTGTAAAAAAAACTATTAGAATGTTCTGTAGTACAGGTTTATTATTTTCTTTTAATTTGATAATATAAATATAAATGATGCAACATATTCGTTGGAAATATTCGCTCACGTTTCAGATTTTTCTATTAACCCTTTCCGCTCGTGAATTGCATAATTATTATGTATTTTGCCGCCGGAGCGGCGGCATCTTAGTGAAAAGCGTTAATTTAATAAAAATTATATTTCAGTAAATTTATTGTTATTATAAAACTCTGCTTTACTATTTTCCTTGGAAAAAAATATTTGAAATAATAAAATGCAACAAATATGATACGTCAAATTACTTTTTCTTTTGAAAATGCTATAAACATAAAAACTACTAAATATTCTAAGGTCAAAGTTTAATGAATGAATAATTTATCATTCATCATATACTATTATTGAATATTTGTAAAATGTGGCTTTTTATTCGACTAAAAAATGCGAACATAGTTAATAATTTCTCTCAATTTTCAAAATGTTATATTATTAACTTTAAGCAAATATTGTAAAAGTGAATTAGGAGCTTTAGTAAAAAAAAATGATCAAGTATTGTTGTTTACCTATATTTTTTACTTTCAAATTTACACACATAAAATTGATAACAATTAAAAATCTGAAAGTGGCGGACATAGCTCAGAGGTAGCATGTCCGACTCACATGCCGGAGATCGTTGGTTCGATCCCTGGCGCTTCCGAATGTAAAATATAAAAAATGTATAAGAATTTCAATGTAAGATGTATGTAAAAAATAGTTAGAATGTAATAATGTATTAGAATGTATAAAAATTGAATTAGAAAGAAGTAAGAAGATAAAAAAGGAAAAATGAAGATAAGATGAACTACGTAGAAGAATAGAATTTAGTGAAAAAGATAAGTTGTAAGAAAAGTATATAGTATAAGAAGAATAGAATCTATATAAAGATTGAATATGATATAAAAAAGAATGTAAATAAATGTTGTAGGTGGCTAAATGCTCAGAGTAAGCGAAGCCAAATAAAAATTAAAAAAAAAAAAAAAAATCTGAAAGATAAATATAAAAGACGTCAAAAAGTGAATAAATTCTCAAAATACTTATATTTACACTCTAGACAAATATTTTTTGTTAGGCTTTCGATTTTTTTGACAAAATGAACAAGAAAAATTGGTTTTTCATACTATGGGCAATTGAAAACCATTCACACATGAAAAAAGGATTTTGATTATCAGATTAAGTATTTATTAAATCCTAAGATAAGATAAGATGCAAGAAATGTTAAATAATTTTTTAGAATTCTCAAAACAGTTAATTTTACACTTATTAAATATTTTGCGTAAAAAAACTTACAAATTTTGATAAGAAATCAGATATAACTCTCTTACCTAATTTAGATTTTTAAAAATTTGCTTGTATTTAAAATTAAAAATAGCAAGGAAAATGAAGTTAGATACTAGGTTGCAAATTTATGCTATAATAATAATATAAGAATAATTAGAACTAATTATAATATAATTTATTAGAAATAAATTTTATTATGATGCACATCAGTACCAATTTCTAAATTTTTAAAATATAAAATATAAAAAGTTTAAAAAATAAAAACTTCAAAAACTAAAACTGAAATTTTCAAATATTTTATCTTTCAAAATTCAATAACAAAAATCAAAATTTCAAACAAAGCGAAGAATTCCTTTAATTTAAAATAGTGTTTAAGTATAGATATGGTGGCGGGAATAGCTCACTCAGTAGCGTTCTCGACTCACACGATAGAGGAATTCGGTTCCAATCTCCAGCAATACCAGAATTAAAAATATAAAATAATAAACTAGATTAAGAATTGTTAATTTGTAGAATATAATAAAAAATTGTATTAGAAGTAAGAAGGAAAAAAGAAGTTTAGTTTAGAAGATGAGAAGAACATATTGAGAAACAAGAAGAAGAATAAAAATTGAATGAAAGATTATGATATAAGAAGAGATAGTATATATATGATAAATGTATAAAAAATATATATGTAAGAATTGTATAGAATATGATGAAAAATAATATGAGTAATGTAGGTGGCTAAAAATGTTGTAAAGCGGAAGCCAATAAAATTTAAAAAAAGAAGTATAGATATGTTTAGCTTTTTACACTATTTCAAAGGCAATCACATAATTTGATCCGTTTAAAAAAATTCACTTCACTTATTAACTGTTGCGCACGCATATGTTGCGTGAGACCGTTGTCAATAGCCAGGCGCTGAAAACAGGTGCGTTTGCCTTGCTTGCACTTTAAAGTGGTGTTTTCAGTAAATTGAAATGAAAAATTGAAATTTTGTACTATAATCGTTTCAAACAGAAATAGTCCTATTTGTCATATTTTCGTACATTTTTTTCTTAAATTCTCAGCTAACATGAACAGAGATGGTTTCATTTAATAAAGAACAAATAAAAAAGCTCACTACAGGAGGAAGTATAAGCAACACAAGGTTAGCAGTGAATGTGTTGAAACAGACAATGCTTTAACACCAGTTTTTAGACGTTTTGCATCCTCACCCCATATAGATGCACGAGAAAAGTCGGTATTATTTGAATCTGACATACCTAGGTGGAACACCTTAGCTTGGCATACGTAAATACATTTTCTTTGATATATAAATAACACTAGGTTAACTAGGTGACTTTTAGGAGACAATATCATATACCACTAGTTTTTTTCTTACCATCAATCCTTGCTCCAAGTAACCGGTGCGCAGTTGCACCGCGAGATCTAGTACAAAGGCGAGGTCGCTAAGGCAATCTAATGTGAACCAATAATTGGACGCTAAATTCTGAAATAAAAAAGATAAATATATTTTAAAAATTCATTATTGAAATTGATACAAAATTATTTAAATAATATATAATATCATGTGTAATATTTGCTTTACTAAAAGATGGAATATGAAGGGGCTATTGTGGTTAGACAACCAGGACAAGTTTAGCATTTTTTAAGCAAATTAGAGAAACCTATTATTCATAAAGAAAATAAGTTTTTAATGTAAATTTTAAATTATTTTTCTGTAGTAACTATCAAAATCATAGGTCTTTTCATAATAAAGGAAAAAGACTGCTTTGGAGTGATCTACTTAACAACTATTGAATAATATATTATCCACGAGATGTCTCTAATTTTTTGAAAATATGATTTGTAAGATTTCATTGAAGATTTAATTTTGATATCAAAATGGCCAAAATAAGTTCTAACTTCCTCTCATATTATAACTATAGTTTTTATGTCAAAAATTGCTAATTGTATGTGCAAAAAACATGAGAAGAAATTTTAAATAATAAATTTTAGTAATATAAAAGTAGAATGGACAGGGGCTTATTGTAACAGGTAACAGGTCATTATATATCTATTAAGTTATATTAAGTTATATATATATATATATATATATATATATATATATTAAGTTATATTAAGGTAAGTAGCAACAGACGTTTTTTAATGGGATTTTGAACGTTTGTAAGATATAGTAATCGCAAAAAAATCGAAAATGAAAATTTTTATATATTTTTACGTTTCAAAGGTTTCTGAATATTTTGGTATACCTCAGAGAAAAATTGATGTATGTGTTGAATTGTCCTGGCTGGTGGTTGATATATTGGGAGGTATGTTTTGGATCACCAGTACGACCAGGAATTGTAATGATAGGCTGGACCCGAGCGGTGAACAATTGAATAATTGTTGAAGTATTATATTTTGATGTGGACTCTCCAGAGTCCACTGGTAGTGTGAAAGGCCTTTAGGACGAACAGCGATTTGATAGTAATTTGTAAACACACTTTTTCTTTGAATGATACTTTTATTATTCACTATTTTTACAATTAATATTTGTTGATAACCTTTTGGTTATCATATCAGCAAAGACTACATTTTACTGAATACTATGTCTGACTAACTCTATGTCTGTCTCCGAGTCTTACTCCAGGTTTGACTGACTGTCTAACTTTTGTCTAACTCTTATATACTAATTTATTGTTTACAACCTATTTACAAAATCCAACAGTAAGCACTTCCGATGTCCGCGTAACCTACATATAACTAGCAACGCGTTTTGTAATTATTAAACAAATAATGATTCGAATTGTTATTACAGTTCAACCTCCCTCTTCAAAAGTTTTTCGTCCTCGGAAAACTATAAAAATTAAGAAAAAATTTAAAAAAAAATGAGTTCCATCTCTTCTTCCTTCGGCCCTTAAAAACTTTTGTCCTCAAAAGTGTCATTACTGTTAGAATATGTTTACAAATAATGTGCTCTGAAAAAAAAATCTAATAATAATTTTATTTTTATCTCTACATTAATAAATCTTTAATAACATACAAAAAATCAGCAGTTGAATGCAAATTAGATGGTCGCTGATTATGTAAAGGCATCACTGAAATTTAAATCTTATTCCGGTAAAACAAAATATGCTTCGAACAACTTACCATAAATGATGCAAAATATTTTTTTTCAAAACTGTTATATCAATAGAGCATAAAAATCATAATATAAAAAATGTCTTTAAAATCTGCAAAAAAATATTAATGGCGTAAAGAATCTTGCATTTGATAATTTAAATCATAAATAGTAATTAATGAAAATTTAAATTTACGTTGTATTGTTAATTCTTGATATATTCGAAATTTGCTGGGTAATCAAAATTGAACAAATGTTGCTTTGAAATATGAGAATTCGCTTATGTGTCAACCAAACAAAATGACTTGCGTTGTTATTACTGTGTTTACACCTGGCGAGTTTTCAGTTTCTTCCGGTATTTATAATTAAACAATTTTGGTGCTGTTCTGAATATAATAAAATCGGGAATGTTTCTCTTCTTTACATGTGTTGGCGACGATATCAATTTTCTGCTGCTTTGGCTTTGTAAATGTGCATATTTCTCCTTTGTGTTCAAATTCATATTCTTACGGTTGAACATATCTGTAATAGTGGCTATATTTTCATTTATTGACAATTTTTGTTGTGAAGGTAATTTTCTTATCATATTAACTTTATATTCCCTGGTTTCTTGATTATTTTCTTCTATAATTTCATCATTAATTTTTCTTCTTTTAATATTTCTTTTCTTTTTCTCTTTCTTCTTTATTTTAATGGGAATAGTTTTCATATATTCTGGTCCTTCATCATTAAGTATTCTTATTTCTTCTTGTTTATCATTAATTTCTTTCATGTCGTAAACCTCATCTTGGGTTTGTTCCATATCTTGTGCCACATATATGTTCAGATCCTTTTCTTCTTCGTATGAATTTGTTCGTATGGTTTGTTCCATATCTTTTGCCTCATATAGATCCTTTTCTTCTTCGTATGAATTTGTTCGTATGGTTTGTTTCATATCTTCTGCCTTATATAGATTCTTTTCTTCCTCGTATGAATTTGCACGTATGGTTTGTTCCATATCTTCGGCCACATATAGATCATTTTCTTCTTCGTATGAATTTGCAGCGATTGTCGTCAACTCTTCTATTTTGGTGTTGTGAGTCAAACTTTCTTCTTTGTATTCTTCTTGTTCTTCGGATTCTTCGGATTCTTCGGACTCTTCGGACTCTTCTTTAGTTGTTATGAATGCCTTGTATGTATCATCATATGTTTTTGTGTATTTCAGATCCTTATTACTTTCGTAGTCCATTCTATCGTCATTTCCACCATTGTAGATTCTAAGTTTGTCATCTCTTTTCCTATTTGTAAGTTTTCGACATTGGTTAATGTGGTGTCCCCTTTTCTTGCAGTATCTGCAAGTGACGAATGGATTGTATTTTTTATCAGATCTGATGTTTAAATATTTTTCTTCCTTTGCAGCGATGTGCATAGCATCCTTCAAATTTTCCGGTTTGGCTGCTTTAACTATAATTTTCAAGTCCAATGGTAGGCCTTTAACAAAAACTGCCAAAGCCAAGTCACAATATGATGGATACGCTATTTTATTTTGTGTAAAATAGCATTCGTTGTTTATTAACGTAAGCAAATTCTCAACTTTCTCTGCAAACTTCTCAATCGATTCCCCATTTTCTCTTGTTGTTGTTGCTAGCTCGTGATGTAACTCAGCGATGGACCTTCTATCTTTAAAACGTTTAATTAGAATAGGTTTGACATTATTCCATAACTGATAATCAGCCCGTCTAATGCAATCAAAAGCTGTTCCACTTAATTTACAAATAACAATTTTTGATATAAATTTGTAGGTCTCAAAATCCACGTCATCTAAAATTGAGTCTACAGTACTTAAAAATCTATAAAGGTTATCTGAATTGCCATTGAATTCGGGTATAGTGCTAATTGCTAATTGAATTCTAAATTTATTTATTTCTATACTATTATCTTTACCTTTTCTAGCTTCTTCAAAAATGGGTTCCATCTTGAGATATGATTAAATTTCGATTTGCTTACTTGAATCCGATGAGATAGTTATGTCCAAGTTAGTCGTAGTCTCGCGTTCGTTCTAAAGTTCTTCGGTAGGCGCCACCATCCCTTAGTTTGTGCTGCGAATGATCGTTCGGTTTGTCGAGTTGTGGCAGCTTTGAACTCGATGTCTCCGTCAGAAAATTCTTCAGCGCTACGAGGGAAAAAACCGCTAAGCCACCATGAATTGTCCTGGCTGGTGGTCGATATATTGGGAGGTATGTTTTGGATCACCAGTACGACCAGGAATTGTAATGATAGGCTGGACCCGAGCGGTGAACAATTGAATAATTGTTGAAGTATTATATTTTGATGTGGACTCTCCAGAGTCCACTGGTAGTGTGAAAGGCCTTTAGGACGAACAGCGATTTGATAGTAATTTGTAAACACACTTTTTCTTTGAATGATACTTTTATTATTCACTATTTTTACAATTAATATTTGTTGATAACCTTTTGGTTATCATATCAGCAAAGACTACATTTTACTGAATACTATGTCTGACTAACTCTATGTCTGTCTCCGAGTCTTACTCCAGGTTTGACTGACTGTCTAACTTTTGTCTAACTCTTATATACTAATTTATTGTTTACAACCTATTTACAAAATCCAACAGTAAGCACTTCCGATGTCCGCGTAACCTACATATAACTAGCAACGCGTTTGTAATTATTAAACAAATAATGATTCGAATTGTTATTACAGTTCAGTGTATATATATATATATACATATATATATATATATATATATATATATATAAGTATATAAAATATATAGTAGACGTTACAGATATCCCTCAAAAAGGGGTAAGAAGTAACATTGCACTATTTATAAAAAATGATTAATTGTTAAATAATAAACAATAATTACGAAAATATTTTTACTTGGTTTGGTAGAGGATTAATTACAGTATTCACCTATCTTTATTTCGTAGAAATGATATCAGCAGATCTCAAAATATATTTGAAAAACAAAACTGTTACTACAAGTCGCTAGCTTCCATATATTATACAAATATGTAACAATAGAAAGATAATTTGTGTGATATATGATGTGTACAAATAAGAAATAAGAATAAGAAAAAAAATTATAAGCAATTCCACCTATTGTAAGTCTATAGATAATACTACGTTTAAAACTACTCATGTATGTCAAAAGTTGTACAGATTTTTATATTTCTTTAAAATATTCCTATATTAACTTGTGAAACATAACTTAAAGTCTTCAACAGACTAGTTCAAAAATCATATATGCTTCCTCTTCGTCAAAAAATATTTTCTGTCAAAAACTTTTAGAGGCCAACTATTCCTATTCTATGTCCCGAGGCGTTTAAAGTTTATAATAGAAATTGTTGAGAACTTTTACAAGGAGTATCGATTCCTCAGCA